CTAATTCTAGGGTTCTAATTCTAAGAGTAGAAAAGAGCCTAACTGCTGCTGATGATAATGATGATGATGTGAATTATCTTGGATGCAATTACTGCACCCATGCAACAGAGCTTGTGGGTTGATCAAGGACTTGCCTTAATTACCTGCATGTGTGTCTGTGTGTGTTTGATGGGCCGAGCTCAACAAACAGTGGTGTGCACGCATGTGTGTGCAGAAGGTGACACGGTAAGTGTGTGTGTATCGGCACATGTCAGTGTGTGTTGTAGTAATGTGAGCTACGCAGGAGCTAGCCTCGCCCTTTCTCTTCAGTTGAACTAGTAACCTCAAAAAAATCCCCCAGCTTATCTTAAGGGAGGAGTGTGTGTAGGAAAACATTTTTTAATTCACTCCTTACTCCTCATCTCGGCCTCCAATGTGTCATCAGGGCTCGGTATATGAAGTGTAATTAAGTGCAGACACTACAGGTGAATAGGATTCATGTCTGTCCAGACTCATATATGGTGAATACTTGGAGAGAATTGAATAAAAAGATATAATGTGTATTTATCACTATATTGATCATACATATGATTCCAGTGAATATGATTCTTATAGATTATAGCTAAACAGAATGTATGCATGCTCCAATTTGGGTTGCACAATTATTCAAAATATTATCGCAAATCGCAATAGGCCAAGTGTATTATGAAAACCGCAGAAGCTGCAATACGGTAGTTCTGAAGAGGTTCCCTGGTTTCCCAAAAAATCTCACATCATCATAAATTTAATCATTTTTTTCAGTAAAAATTACATTTGTGATGCAAAAATTCTCATTCTCATTAATCATATCACAATCGCAACATCTGTCGCCATACTACTTGACTGTGTGTGAAATCTGGAATTACCCAATTAATTCTTAATTCTAATTATGGCTAAAAACTATTTTGAGGTCACAGTTCAGTTCAGTGTCCGACCAACTGTGAAATTCTGTCATCAGTTCTTGGGTTATGGCCAAAAACCTGTTTTTGAATTTGAAGAAATTCCCTCACTGTAAAACCTGACACCACATCTAAATAAAATAAGTGTGTTTAAATAAATTATTTCTCCAAACAAAATAGAGTCACTCATTCACATGAATTAAACCCAACTTAAAAATGAATACTGAACCAACTCAGTTGTTTTGAGTGAACTTAAATGTGTCCAGTATGTGTGTGTGGGTACAGACGATATGGTTCCAGTTTGTTCCACTGACTCATTTTCAAGTAGACTTTATATCATTATAAAAATGTAAGCATTGCTATGCTGTATTGCATAGGTTTTTCCCATTTTTGTTTTTATTTCAGTTTATCAATCAAGCCCAAGTATGAATCCGAATAATACTTAATGATTGCCCAAAGTGTAAAGATTGGTAAATTTAAACATGGTGGTAACATTTCTATAAAGAAGATGCATTTAAGTTACATTATTCAGATAAATTCTATTCAAACATTTTAAATAAGTTTGGAGAAATTAGTGTAAATTCAATGAACTGAATGGAATTGGTACAATTAACTTTCAATTAACTATATTTTATATCTTAAACAGTTTAAGGCAATCGGTTTCCTCAAACAGTGGGGGGATAACTACCTCAGCAGATTTTACAGTGCTGTCTACAGTTCCTGAGGTATCGCACTCACAAGATTGGGACATTTGTTGATGTCACAATGAAGGGTGACCTTTGGGATATAAAATGTCATAATTTCATCATTTTATCCTATTAGACATTTGTTCTATATGAAAACAAACCATCAACTAAAAATGGAATGCACACAGAAAAGTGAGTATGCCAAGTTGTTTATTGCTTGAAGGCTTCATGCCACTGTTGTTGTTTGTAATGTTCAAATGTTTTTAATGAAAAGAGTGTATGTTGAAGTGGGATGTGATTTATTGCTTCGTTTTACCGCTGTAGCGAATTGGTATCAAGTACTAAATTTCTGTTATGGTGACGTCCCCAGTTGGTTTGATACCTAGTGCCTGTCACTGACATCACTCCTCTCATCTGTCCATCCTTTCATCTACTTCCTCCCCAGCAGCAGTCAAAGGACTCTCTGTTCAGCTGGGTCTTCCAGATGGGACTCGCTGGGCTGACTCACGGCCCCATGTAAAGATGAGAGCCTGGCAATAATCATCACCTCCCCCCTGACTCGACCGCCAACATGAAATATTGAGCTTGAGATGGGGAAATGGGTTGAGATGGTCATAAACCTCAGTGGCAACTAAAGGGTCAATCTACTCCTCCTTCAGCGGTCTTCAACGTCACAGAAGTCCTCCTCATGCCCGATTTCTGCTCGGCTGAATGACCTTGCGGCACAGGTGACACATAACCTGAGGCTCCCACTGAGCTGATATGTTAGACATTAAAGGTAATGATCCCCAAACATGATCCTCGCTTCCCCACCCCACTCCTTCCCGGGACTCAGTGACCTGCAACCTGAGCTCAGGTGAGGGTAGAAAAGCACGATGTCACCATGACGTCAGTCAGTCAGTAGGTGAGGGGGGTACATTTACTCAAGTACTGTACTTAAGTATCATTTTGTGGTCATTTATTTGATCATTTCTATTTTCTGCAACCTAATATTTCTACTCTTACACTCTAACATTTCAGATGGAAATATCTTATACTTTTTATTCCACTACATTTATATGACAGCTTACTTTTCAGATGAAGATTATTACAACACGTAATAAGTAGGGCTGAGTATTGGCAAGAAGCTATTAATACAATACATATCAAGATACAGTGGTTAACATTCAATATATTGTGATAAATTGCGATACTGTAAGCAAGGCCATAGTTTGAAATTCTTTTTAAATCAAATGTTAGGTTAACTGTCATAGTACAAAGAACACTTCTTAACAATCTGATGTCTAACTTTCCTTTTCACAGAAAAGCTTCCACAAATGTCAGAAAACAACCCGTTTGGCAAACCTTACTTTACACAGCAATGCAGGACATTTGATTCATATTCATAAGAATCATACTCAGTTTATTTTTTATTAGTAAAGTGCTCTGATTGCAAGGATTAAAATTGGTATATTTTATGTTAAAAAAGATAACATTGTATTATATATTGTTGAGACCAGTTGAGAACCACAGGTGTAACTGAAACAACTGTTTGAGGCCCAGAGGGCTACACAAAATCAATTTATATGGTTGTAGCAGTGGTTTGTTTTTTCTTCTGTCCTACTACATTAATCATCTCATGGCCCCTCAGAATTATCTTGTGGCCCTTTGGAGGGGCCCGACTTTAAGGCTGCAGGCACGAGTGGACCAAATCTGATATGTGACTCAGATCTGTTTCTCCATGACAGTGTGAACGGCACAAATCACATGGAATCTGATCTTTTCAATTCTGATTCAGGATCACTTTCATACGTAGTCCAAATCAGATACAGGTCTGATTCTTTGCAATGTGACCTCAGTGGGAACAGTCATATCTGAATTCATGTGACTTTTATGCCATTCTAGACTGAAGTTTTTCACGCAGGTTTGTCAAAACCAGATCTGAGCAATAAATCAGACCTGACACTAAAGCGTCTTGTAGACTGCCGTTCCCGACCCAGTCCGCGCGACAGACGTGACGTTCACGGGAGCGCCGAACTATTAATACCTGCGCTTGGTGGTCGCGACACTAGTTGCAGTCTTCTCCTGAACAGAGGTGTCGCAAACTGAGCTGGCCCACAATCCTGGCTCACCAGCCAAAGATATACGTCATTTTGACTGCCACAGTTGCTCGCGCGACAGGTCGCAACGGGGCGAGCATACTGTGGCCTTAAGGCTTGCAGTATGAACAGTGCCTAACTAAGCTGGACTAAACTAAAACTGGTCCAGTATGCAATGTCATCCATAGTACTTACAGATTAAAGGTTAAGCTGTAAAGTTCAAACAGTGACCATGGTCCAGTATGCAACTTGTACAGTGTGATGTAGAAACTTGAAGCCACACCAAGTGGCACAATCCACTGAAATGGACTTTAAAGTGAAGTAGGGACATCTTGTGTCCAGCAGGAAAACTTTTTTAGAGATCAACCAACATTTGTATATTCAGAGATTCTGGAAGTTTTAATGAGGCAGAAGGAGGAGATTACTGTTTAAGGATTTGAATGTGGAAATTATAGTTTTTTTGCAGAAAAACACACATTATTGTTCCAAGCAGACTGTTTGTATATATGTCTGAATACATGCCTGGAAGGGGTCCTCATGGATCTGAGTACCACTTCTTCCCAGCCTAGAACAAAGCTAGTTACTGTATATTTAAAGAGCATATACCCTCATTTGCAGTTTGAGGGTGTGTGGTGCATTTGTCTGCAGGAGCTCACTGTAACACTCCCACAGAACCATTGTTCCTACGGACTTTCTTGCCACAGCATTTAATCCTGTAAAAAATGTATTAATGCTCAGTCTTGTAGGGGGGAAACTAATCCTTAAGGAGCTTTTAATTGCATGTTGCTATGAGTCCCCACGCTGCTGCTTTCACTGTCACACGGAGCAGAAGCAATGGCTCACGAGTCAAAAGTTTGTGTTCACCTCTGCACAGCTATCCCATCATCTGAGAATGCGTAACCCATTGTAACCCAGGCAAAAGGAATGTGAAATTACGCACATGTGACGCGCCTGAAAGGACGCTAAATTACGGATTATTATCAGCAGGCGCGTGCCACAGGATGCCGTCACAACAGCGTCAAATAAACACCCGCACGGCCCGCACGGCCCGCAGGACGCAGGGGAGGCGTGGGGTTTCTACAGGCATCACCGAAATGTGCGCTGATCTTTTACTTGCCGGAGCAAAAGCAAACATTTCTGAGGACTTCTTTAATGTTTTACTCCAAATTCACTGAAGAGATTTGGCACTTGTTGAAACATTTTACAAAATGACCAGAAATATTTGTCAGTGTCTTATCTTACACCATTATTTGGCCATCTTAAAGAAAAAAGAACCAGTATGGAGCCAAGACCATCACGTCCTGTTGGTATTTCTTTACCTTAATGATGCTGCTCCGGCGCGGTGCTGCCTTCACGGAGTCCAGGAGGATGGTGTCGGTGTCCTGGCCGCCACCGGGGAGGATGACACCGCTCCGCCGGCCGCGGGACGCTCTCGGCGGGATGCAGTCAGGCGCTCCGTCGCTGCACAGCCCGTCTCCATATCCATCGCGCTCAGACATGTCGACGAGGAGGAAGGAGGGCTCGATTTAGAAAACACCGGGAGAGGAAGATTAATCAAGTCGTCGGATCTGACCCGAATAAAGTTTGACTCGGCGGCGCGCTGGTGCCATTTAAAGGAGAAATGGGTTCTTGCTTCCCTGAAGCATCAGCTCTGTCACACTGGAGGGAACTAATCACCCCAATTTGCTTAATTATGAGCAGATTGTCATAGTCACTGAGCGCAGAGCCGTGCTGACTTCAGGCAGAGTGTGAGCTGGTCTCCACAGTCCATCCCCGCTCCACTAAGCGCCTCACTGTGGAAATCAGAGCATCGCACGCAGGTATCGACTTGGATGAAAACTGGACTGGTGCGCTCCCCGGATGCGCGCAACAAGTCTCCACCGCTCCCAGCCTCGCTTGTCCCCGAGGCGACCAGGGCACAGTTAGTGCATCAGAACCTCCCGTAAAGCCTCAGTGCGTGACGATGGACGGAGAAAGCGAGGTGGTGCTGGTGGAAAAATAATGTTTGGAAACAACCCAGGGTTGGCTACGAGGCTCCTTTCTCCCCAAAACACATCGATGTCAAAGTGCACAGAGGAGCGAACTTGCGGTGCGTTCAGCGTCCAGAGGAGAGGAGATCCGTCCCTGCGTCAGCGTGGGGCGCATTGCTCTGACCACACACGGACACTACGGGCGTCTTGGTTCTGCTCGGGGCAACAACAGCCGACTTTTGACGAGAATAGGGAACACAATTGACAGTCGCACCGCCTCTAGCCCGCCACCCCTCCTTCCACACAGCTCCTCCCACATGCCGCCCGAAATCATGATTGACAGGCGGGGCGGCCAATGCGCGCGGCCGCTGGGAGATTTGGACGCAGTCAGAGGTCCTGATAGGTGGCGGGTCGAGTCCAGAGACTGAGAGAGTCTCATGGCTTTTTAAGACCATGGACCAGGCTGTGGGGAGCAAGGGGGGGCAGCTACAGTGTAAACATCAGGATATTGTTTACCTGCATTTGGAGAATAATAATTCTCATCGAGAGGATGTGAAGACAAATTCTCCCAGATCTTGAAACCCTTTATAGACCACTACAATAACTTGAACCCTTCCATAAACTATCCTGGTCCTAATGAGTCCTTTTACTTTTTTTATTTATGTTTTTATCTTCATTATTTATTTATTTATTTTTTCCTAATTAATACTGTCTCCATACATTTTCTTATTTTCTATATTTGGCACTGCTGATTACCAAGGACTGTGGAACGCATTTCAAATTGGTCGGGCCCATCAGCAATGCATTGTCCCTGTTAGAAATCTGTTATTTTTCTGCATTTCATTTTCAGTAAAACTTTAAAGATAACAAAGTGTTGGAGAAGGGAAGTGCCAGGCCGCCTGTTAGTGTTTAGATTTATGTCACATGACACAATTAGCCAATACATTGTTATATAGCAGGAAGCCCATCCTGGGCTACCGTAGAAACATGGCGGTTCAACATGGCAATCCCGTAAAAGAAAAAAACAGCTCATTCTAAAGTAACAAAAATACAACTATTCTTATTTTCAGGGTGATTATACACTAAATGAAACAGTAGTCTATTTGAATATAATTAATGACTTCCATTTCCTCACAATGTGATCCTCTGAAATGTTACACACTGGACCTTTAATTTTTCCCTCATTTGTAAATGTTAACTCCCAGGGGGAAAAAAAGAAACTTAATCTGTTTTGTTGCCTTTAATGGATAGTGACAGGAGAGGGGGGAGAGAGAGGGGAGGACACGCAGAAAAGGGCCACAGGTCGGATTCAAACCCTTGGCCGCAGCAGCAAAGACTCTGCCTCTGTACATTGGGTGCCAGCTCTACCAGGTCAGAGCTATCCAGGCTCACCATTGATGCATTTTTTTGACTTACCTGTGAGTAAACTCAAAATATTCAGGTTTGGACACAGACATCTTGAGATGCTGTTGCTCTAACCTGAAAGAGTAAGCCTAACCCTGCTCCAAGATTAGTTCATGTGATAGCAGAATATAAATATGCCAACTGAAGCCCTAATATGAAGCAAACATAGCCAAACATAAAGTCTTATCTTAAAAGAAAAAAAGTGAAAAACTCTGTCTTGTTACTGCTAGTGTTAGACCTTTACACAACCATCAATAGATATTGATGATAATGGATGAGCATCTCAACAGTTCCATATCCAGGATGACATTAGGTCAGCTGGTGAATGGAATGGCTTGGGAAAACGTAAAGAAACGCAAAAAAATTAAATCTACAAAACATGACATTATCAGAAGATTGGAAAATTACTTTTTTCAGTCAAAGCCATATCTTTAAAGTTATACATATGAGATTTAAAACATTAGTATAGCAGCAAACAACTATTTGCTATGTAATATGTAATGCTATGTAATGTATATAGAGGAGTCATGATGTCCTGAGCAGAGAATGGCGTCTCACCTCTTGCCTATCGCAATATCTTTGTGCTTTGTTTACAAAGCCAGTCTGGCTACGTGTACATGTTAGCGCATGTGAGTCCTTCCGTGACAACTCAGCAGAGCAACTGAAACTGCTTTTTCTCATCTACGTCTGTGAACTGAGAATTTATTTCCACCAAACCAGAGTTGGTGAATGTTGGAACAGTGGAAAGACTAACAGAGATGATTTTGGTGACTTTTATTTAGTTTCTGTCCACTTTGAAGTGTGTTTTACGATTATCTGCTAGATAAAAATTACTGGTTTTGTGGAGTCTGGTTGGCCATAGTGCCCATTGTTTTTGTCTGAGATGCTTGTGCTCTAGAGCAACATCTAGTGGCAAGGGAATTTCAAATATAAAACCTTTAACTTAACACCAGGCAGAAAAGCAGTGTTTTGGTTTGGTTGAAAGTTTTATGCCTTTCACCTCTAATCACATCAAGCATCACTGATGGGGGTGGTCAGAAATATGCTTTGTTCTACACCCAGTAGTGATGTCATCAGGTTCTGGAGTCATGTATTTCACTGCAGATGGGTGAGAAGTTAAACTACTGAGATTTTCTTATGATATTAAGTTGCTCTTTAAAAAAAGAAATGTTACTTCTTCAACTGTAAGCAAGAGTTACACAAAGCATTAAACTTTTCAAGGACAGCATAGCTTTAAAGAAATACACAAACCCTTCTTTGTTGTGAAACTGTCTTTGTGTCTTCCGAACCTGTGTGAATTTAGATGTCTGAGGTGCACGTCTGACCTCTGACCTCTTGTTATTGTCCAGTCGGCGTTGGTTCACAGCGACAGGCAGACCGGTAAAGATTGGTAGGCAGTGTGGAGGTGTAATAAAAGTGTGATACATTATTCATCACTGTTGCAAAATTGCCTTTTCTCTCTTGGACCCCTTCCAGGGGGGTCAGAGATCAGGGTTAGGGAGACAGCAACACCCCTGGAGCTGGCAGGGATTTAGTGTCTTGCTCAAGGACACATCAGCAGGGTGGAGAAACACTTGAACCCTGGTTGTCTTCATAATGTACAGGCTCTCTAATACAATTCCCCATCAGGTGGTAGGCCTTCTTCAACAGCTGCTATGGAGTACATGGAAACTCTTTAGAGATGCTATTGCAAAAATGTAAATTATAATTTGGTTAAAATGTAATGTATTGTATTGTAAATGTATTATATATCCACATATATGTGTTTAGAAGGAAAATGTTTGCAAGGCTGACCTTACCTGTAGTAGTGTATTTTTCATAATAACCAAAAAATTATTCACTAAAATGGGGTGATTTCACAGGATACACCAACTACAGTCAGTTGTATCCATAGACTGTACATTTAAAAATGGCTGTAGGTTTCTGAAAAGCCGTCGCAAAGGTCAGTGTGGTCAGCTCTGGCCATTGCTCTCTTGGCAGTCCTGACTCTGCTGGCTCCCAGCTAATCCAAAAATGGGCAAAGACATGGAGCTGAGGCGGGCTGAATGAAGCCTGGTTACTGAGAAGAGACATCTCTGATGGCACCCATGTGAACTCAAAGCAGCCACTCCCTTAATTATGCATAACTTTGTTAAAGTTTTATGAAAATTCACCCCTCGTACAGTTGTCATGAACAGGGAAGTTAGCTATAAAGACCAAAACCGTACCAGGCTGTAAACATTTATTTATTTATTGTTTATTTCTGCTGTAAAGTTGGACATTTTAATATGGCTCCTTATAGAGATTGACTCACTTTTGGAGCCAGCCTTAACTGGCCTTTAGAGGAACTGCAGTTTTTATTACTCCTGTGTTGGCTTCATTTGCAACCACGGAGGTTGCTGCTTGGTTGTTTCTAATTAAAACAACTTACTGCAATTAGTTAAATAAGTTAGTACATGAGCAGAGCAGTTAAAAAGCTAAATAAAAGCTGTAAAAAGTCTCCAGTGTCCAGTTACCACCATGCTAGCTGCTCTTAGAGCCTGTACTTGGGCACAGCGGTGCTCTGAGCTAGAAGCTACGGTCACTATGCTAAAATGCTCACAATGACTGTGCTAACATGTTGATGCTAAGCAGGTATATTGTTCACCATATTAGCTTGCTAACATTAATTAGCACAAAACACAAAGTATAACTCTGATGGGAATGTCATTAGTTTTGCTCAAACCAAACATACAGTAGGTGAAGTACTGCCAGAGCGCACCGGCACAACCCTGCTCCACTTTTTTTCTCCATGGGAGGAAATAAAATATACAGTTTGCATAACCCAGTTGAAATTTAAATAGGCTACATGCAAGAGAGCCAATAAGTACAAAGGTAACTGGCTGTCACCACTCTCCGCCCGCGTCTTGCATTTAGCACCATGGCTACCAGAGGCTAAGCTGTCCTCCCTCTCTTTCTGTGTGCTTTTCTCCCCTGATTGGTTGAGCCTGTTCCAGAAAACTTGACAGACAAATATTTCGGAGCCAACGTGTAAAAATAATTTTAATTTTGAAATGTGCAACAATTTCGGACAGAAAAAATTTACTTAGTGTACAATGGCCTTAATGGTCAAAGTTTTCATATTGACAAGGTGTATTGATTGATTCATGACATCAGTTCATACATTGAGTAACATTCCACCTTAAAAGTCGCTGTCGTTAATACAGTGAATAAAAAAAAAAATCAGTCTATAGTTAGTAAAATGAAATAATTCATCATCCACCCCTCTGATGGTTTCTTTATTTGTGATTAATTTACAAAGCCAGCCTGTTAAACTTGGCCAGCTTGTGCTGCATTCCACGTTGCCTGCAGGAAATGAAAGCTTGTTTGGTTACATTTACTTAGCCTTGTCTGTTCTGTGGTCAGTTATGGTTGACTAATATATGTAAACTTTCCACCGTAGGAACAGTGGTGACCTAGGAAACAAGCCACAATGTAAACATACACGTATGTGTGTGCATTCTGGTACTTAAATAAATACACTAAAACTACACTTTTGAAACAAAAGTATCAGACAAATTGAAATTTTGACCTATTGATGGTGCTATAATTCATCCCGAGGGGAAACATGAATGTCTGTACCAAATTTCCTGGCAATCCATACAATAGTTTTAGAGACATTTCACTTAAAACCACAAATGTGAACCTCATGATGACACTAGATGAAAAGTTAGATGAGTACATGCAAAAAACATGCAGGTTTTTGTCCAAAAATGCATGGGATTAGGCTAAACTACTCGTGGGTACCCACCATATATTTTGATTCTGATATCTTGAGGTCAGAGGTCAAGGCATCCCTTTGCAAATAGCCATACTATATATCGCCCCCTTCGTGACATGCTAGCATGAC